TGATTATATCACTTGCTCTGGTGGTCTTGTTTTATTTGTTGACACTGCTTAACGGAGTCTGTGACCTTGGTGAAATAATTAACCTCCCTGAGCTGTGGTAATCAATAGAGTGGGAAAAATAACATCCACTGGGAAGGGCTTTTGTTTGGATTATGTGAGACACCACGTGAGAAAGTATCTAATGTAATTCCTGATGGATGATGGCACTAGATAAAGCTGGTTTCCTTCTTTCACGCTCTGAGAACTGAAAATGGCATCTGGCACCCAACAGGCACTCCTTAAATACTTGTGGAATAGTAAATTAATGTTTTCATCAGTCCCTGAGACAGGCTAATTGCTCAGTCCTATAGATTGTATGTGCAATGAAGTTTTCTGAAATTTTTGCCTGGGATTTCAGAATTTCAATATAAACCGATGCAGCATTTTATTTATTTATTTATTTTATTTTAACATGACCAAATGCCCTAAGGTAGATTTGTGGTATCATTTTCTAGACCAATTATAAATTATTGCAAGTTGGTGAATTTAACAAAAAAAGCCAGTCTAAAGCTTTAGCTCCTGACTAACTTCTTACTAACTCCCCAGAGATAAATCATCCTTAAAACATTTTAAATCATGGACCAAAAAAAATTTTTTAAGTTACTTGCAGTGTTATTATTCTAAAAACCCTAATTCCGTGCCTACTGTTAATGGTCATTGCCAGTTAACACACATTCTAAACATTTGTTAAGACAAGATTTTCCTCAGCCTCCATTTAAAAGTTAAATTTCTTTTAGAAGTTAACATTATAAACATTGATAGGCATAAGAAAATTTTCAGAACCACACTTTGTCTGTAGTTTTAGGAACCAAATAAAGATTTTTTTCTTGGATTGTTTATAATCTTCAGAAGTAAGGCCATACACCCAATGACCTTGAGAACATTTTCAGTCTCTGTAATTCTCTTTATAATTCTCATTCTACATGTTGTAATTTGTTTGTTTACGTAAAGCATTATGGGATCGTAAAAATGTATAATTTAGGAGGTTTGCATAGGGTGATCCTTTATCAAGAGGCCTAAAATTGGACCCTCAGGTCAGGACTTCTGCCATAAAACACAGATGGACGTTGACAGAAAAGCCCATTCCTGTGACCTGAGCTTACTTTGTCATGCTCTCAATCACCATCACATTTTTATATCCCATAATTGCAATAGACAAGGGCAAAACATCACAGAGAAACTGTAAGATGTGTGTTTTAACCCAGTTTCTAGCTTCAAATAAATCAGTGGTTTTCTGCTTCTTTTTCAATACCCTGATAACTGAGGAATGTAATAGGTTTCCATCATTACAGGGAAGTCACCGTGGCAATGGTTCTCAGCAATGGGACCAGGGGTCTGTCTCTCCCTCCACATTGTGAATTACTGCTTTGGAGTATAATGTGATCCAGGTCACATTTCTTTGATTGGCTGCTCTTTCACTATCTGGCATGAACATCATCTACAGGGAAGTCACCGTGGCAATGGTTCTCAGCAATGGGACCAGGGGTCTGTCTCTCCCTCCCCATTGTGAATTACTGCTTTGGAGTATAATGTGATCCAGGTCACATTTCTTTGATTGGCTGCTCTTTCACTATCTGGCATGAACATCATTGCTGAGATTATTTTCGCTGAGATTATTTTCAACACATTTTTTTCATGAGCACTTTCTATGGGCCTGACACATTGATGGTAAAAGGATTGAGCAGGACCACAGAAGTTTTCAGAGTATTCCTGTTCTCTGGTCCTTAAGATACTAGAAAAAGGCTGTCAAAAGAAAAAAAGTTGTACATTAATATGCTGATGTGTAGGTATGTTGTATATATATTAATAAATGAACAGGCCAAGGTAAAAGGATTGAGCAGGACCACAGAAGTTTTCAGAGTATTCCTGTTCTCTGGTCCTTAAGGTACTAGAAAAAGGCTGTCAAAAGAAAAATAAAAAGTTGTACATTAATATGCTGATGTGTAGGTATGTTGTATATATATTAATAAATGAACAGGCCAAGAGGAGACGCTGTCCGTGTCCAAAGGAGTCAGCTGTTATCAGCTGCAGCAAATGGTTATGTCAGAATATGAGCTCTGTTTTTCTGTTTTGCCAGATCTTCTTATTTCCAGGTGAGATATACCCATGTCTAAATGTTGGTGACTTATTTATATAGTCTTAAAACTCTGTTGGCCAATCAAAATGTATTTGTATTTGCAACCCTGGATGCAGTGGGAGTTGCATAAGAAGTCAGGGTTGAGGGGTTCCTTCCAGGTGAGGAATGGTATGAGCCAAGCCCACATGCCTCTTTTGTTTCTAATTATATGAATGAAATTCCACTGTAATCTTATAATTGTCAGCCTGAACTATCATATAATATATCCAGGTTGATCAAGGAATATGTCATCAGGTAAAAGACAATTCTTAAACATACAATTCAATGACCTATATTTGTGTGACTCAGACTACTAATAAAGCATTTTTTACCTGAGGGTAGAAACATTATTAACTGTCATCAGTATACTTAACCACCTATTTTCTTCTTTCTGGGAAAATCTTTGGTAATTGTTAAAACACACACATATTCATGATTCACCCCACTCTACCGTGCTTTAATTGCCCAACTTGAAATTAAACATAGCCTGGAAAAAACATGCAATTCTCTACATAAATCCCTCTTTTTGTCTTGTGTAACATTTTAACATTTCAAAGGCTTTCATATCTGCTATATCATTGTAGGCCTGTAAAAATTTTCTATAAATAACTCATAATTTTAAAATGCTGTTAAGTTGAAAATGGAGCACATTTGTGCAAGATCAAGATGTTTTCACTCAACTTTTGTACAGGTGATTTGAAATACTCTATCCTGACCAGAGAAAACAAATTCCTATGCCTTTGCTTATGCTGTTGATTCTCCCAAAACAGTGCTTTCTCCTCAACCCGTGTATGGTTCAAGGTTCAAACCTAAAGCCAGTTTTCACTCTGAGCATTTTATGCTATGTGATATACCAAATTTACATCCCCCGCTGGCTTGTCCTGCTTTGTGTATCTGCCTTACCTTCCATATCTTGTTGCATACATCTGAGAGGAATAGCCTTTTCATCCCAGTCCCTCAGTGCCTTCACCAGCGAGGCTAGTTGAAGCTCTTGGTAAGGAATTTATTCAGGAAGAGTGTAGTCAGGATCAGAGTATCTCAGCAAGCATAGAGTTACGTTTTAAATCAGACATTTTGATGTCAGGCACACCTGCTTTTGATTCCCATCTTGATCACACATAAGCTGTGTGACCTCGGGCAAGTTATTCAACCTCTCTGAATCTGTTTCTTCATCTAAAAACATGATAAAATGATAATGGGAAAACACTTATCAAGAGCCTGGTATAGTACCTGGCAGATAGTGGGTGTGAAGATCAGTGACCTTTCTCCCCTCAGTCTCCTATATTATTTTAATCATTCTTCACATTTCCTGTCCCTCCATCCTCATCTATCTAGTTAGTTACTCTCTAAATCCAACCTTGTAATCAGACTTAACTCACTCTCATAGGTGACTATGAAAAGAGCCAGGCTTTTGATTCTGATACATTGGGAGTCAGAGTCTTAATAGATTTGGGACCATGGGTGAATTACTTGGGCTACAATTTCCTCATCTCTTAAATGGGGATAACAACACTTAATATCACACATGTTGTTAAGAAGATTAAAGATTAAATGAGTCAACATATGTTAAACACCTAGAATTGCCAAAACATGGTAAATGTTCAAGTGTTGAATAAATCAAAACCACTATAGAGATACTGCAAGAGGTTTTAAGCTGATTATAGACAGAGATATGAAGCCTGAACTAAAAAGAGTATCAGAAAATTTGTACTTTCTGTAAACGTCAAAGTTGAATTGGAGAATTTCGGTTAGGTTGGGGATATGACATTTATATCACCAGAGTTTAGAGGTTTGAAAACTACAGAGTATTTGCCCAAACCTAAAATTTTGATTCATTTCTGCGTTATAGTCAGTTTCTTTATACATTTCTGTCCAGCTGGCTGATGCGGTAGCTGAAAATAGTTCTGAGGACCCAGGCTGTGCCCAGAGCTTCCTTGTTCCTAGGTTCTAATCTGCCTCTCTGAATGTGGACAGGCTGTTTTTTCAAGACAGTCCCACAGGGCTGCATTGGAAGAGAACCCACACTCTCCCTGGCCTAGCACACTAGACCAGAGGTTGCAAACTTTTCCTGCAAAGGGCTAGATAGTGAAACGTTTAGATGCTATAGGCTGTGTATACAGTCTCTGTAGCAAATCCCTCTTTGTTGCTGTTATTTTACATAACACTTTAAAAATATAAAAGCCATTCTTAGAAAAAAATAGGCCACAGGTCAGACTGGGACCACAGACCGTAGTTTGCAGACTCCTGCTCCAGACCATAGAAGGGATGGAGGAATGAAGAATGGCTTCAAAAGCTTAATGAATGAATGCCTTCCGTTAGGGTAAGAAAAAAGCAAGCACATCAATTTTTTTTTAAATATTAAAGACATTAAGTCTTTTGTACCTTTGCATCTATGACACAACTATACTTTCTCGTTGGTTTTTTAAGATTTTACAGTGAGACCTCGTCACATCGCTGTTTTCCATTGGAAACTGATAAGGAACATTGTCAAGCAGATGGAGCACAGACTGTAGAAATGAGAAACACAGAAGAAAGAGCTGTGTGAAAGAAATATTTAATCATAACATGAAAAACTCATGATGGCAACTTTTCCATTATGTTAAATTTCACTCATCTCTATGCATTCTGAGTATGTGTCGAAAAACAAAGGTGGTAATTTTTCATTTTTGTGCGCATTTACCATGGGTTTTTGATTTTGTTGTTTGTAGGACTACGACTTGAGCCAGCTCCAGCAGCCTGATACCGTGGAATCTCTATGCATTCTGAGTATGTGTCGAAAAACAAAGGTGGTAATTTTTCATTTTTGTGCGCACTTACCATGGGTTTTTGATTTTGTTGTTTGAAGGACTACGACTTGAGCCAGCTCCAGCAGCCTGATACCGTGGAACCCGATGCCATCAAGTCTGTAGGAATCCGGAGACTGGATGAGAGACCCATCCACGCTGAGCCCCAGTATCCAGTCAGATCTGCAGCCCCACACCCTGGGGACATCGGAGACTTCATTAATGAGGTGCGAAGAAAGACTTATTTTCTTTACAAGGGTTTTTATTTTATGCTAATAGTTAGATCTACACAATCTATGCAGGCCACAAATTGCTTAGAATATAGCTATGTAGTTCATTAAAACAAACTTGCTTTTCTTAAGTTTATCTTTGTATGAAAGCAAATGTGGCCTTAGTAACAAAGAACAGAAATTTAATTGCTTTGACCAGTCAAAAAGAGATCTATTGATTAATATTCTGCACTTGCAAAATGATATTCATCATATATTATAGGTATTAGTCACACTATCTCTAGGAAGGACTTTTTTCTCTAGATTACAGGTAATAAATAGACTAACAATATTATAGTGCATTCACATTTGATTTATTAGCACTGATAAATGTACGGATAGTTCACTTTAGTTTTCCCCACACTGTACCCTTTGAATAAATCCCACAAGTGGTGAGAATTCGGTGCCTACCCAACAACTCCATCAAAAGAGATTAGTTGGAAGAGCCGCTAAATTAAATATTATGTAAGTGATTTAAATACTTGTCTAGTTGAGGAGTTTTAAGAGCTTCCATAAGAGGAAGCTAATTCTGTGTTGAGTATAACAGATATGATTTTCACTGTCAAAATTGTTATGGCATTCTCTTATTTCATTACTGACCAAGAGTTCTGCTTCATTTAATTATTAAGTTTTGAAGTACAATGATTTATGCTTCTTCTTTTGATGATGTCTATAATTTTATTGTAATTCTCCCTTTGAATTTTTATTATAAGAGAGCACTATATGTTGATATTGATATTGATTGTGAATATATGGCAGAACTGATGTTCTCTGGCCATATCCTCAGTATCTCCAAGATGATAAGTGGTCTTGGTGCATTACAATGTGGAATGTATCTGTCATAAATGGTCTTCAGTAATGTGCTGATTAGACTCTTGTTTCCTGAGATTTCTTAAAATAGTCATAAATATGTAAATATAATCAGTCTACTATAAGATTTTAGATGCACGTATAGCTTGTAGAAAAAGTTTTGAATTAAATTTGGAATATTTTTCTATTTGCACAACTATCCGTTACTGTCTATCCCTAAAATATATGCTGCTTTCTGAGCATATATCTGAGCATATATATTCACTTCTGCTAAACAGGTAATAGGTTAATTTTTAGTAGACGTGATTTAAAAGCAGATGGAAGGCAAAAACAGCAGAATGCCAGTAACTCCCTTTATCTACAGAAATATGTCCTAACTTTCCCAGCTCTTATTTATATATACAAGAGCATTTCAAAAAGTTTGTGGAAAAATAGAATTAAAAGATAATATGAATCCTCCCATGAACTTTTTGAGGTACCCTCGTAGACCTGGTTAGGGAAATTAGGCTAGATGTTTTAATGTTTGTCATGCGAAATTGGGTTATTCCTGCAGTTGTCAGGTTTCAAGACATAGTAAATTTTTTGACTGCAGGTATAGGAACTAGACTTTTCTAAAGCAAGAATTCTGGCTTGAGTGTAATTCACCAAGTACTAACTGAATGTTTCTGCCTGTCCTTGAAGTGTCTTTTTTGTGTGGGATTCCATCCCATCCTTGATGCTCTTCTTTCTCCATGATAAAGATCAAACACTTCGTGTCATTGATAAGGCTGTTTATAATCAGATTCCTGCCCTCCCTCCCCCATCCCCACATTCCGTTCCTGTGTGGCAGCCCCACTGAACTATCTGCAGGTCTCAAAAGCATCACACTTTTGAACATTCCGTAACTTCTGCAGAGCCCTTACGTTCCCTCCCTCCCCCATCCCCACATTCCGTTCCTGTGTGGCAGCCCCACTGAACTATCTGCAGGTTCTCAAAAGCATCACACTTTTGAACATTCCGTAACTTCTGCAGAGCCCTTACGTTCCGTTCCTCACCATCTGCAGGACTCCCGCTTAGTTTTCAAGATTCAGCTAAAACATCCCCTTCTCCCTGAAGCCTTCCTTGATAGAAGAACGAGAGGCTTCTTCTATCATAGCCCTCACCAGCGGGGACCTGTCAGTCCTTTCTCCCACTTGAGCATATGAGTTCTCTCCTGTTCATCTTTGTATAAACTCTGCATATAATATATTGCCCAGCTCTTAGATTTTATTGTTTTTGGGAATTTGAGTACAGTCATACAGACATCACCCAGTTTATTTTAGATTGGGATTTAGCAGAGCCGAAGTCTGTAGCCTTTCATTCTATTGGTGCTGATCACGTTCAGAAAACAAGGTATTTGTTGTTTTAAGTTTGTGTTTTGTGTGTATGTGTGTGTATTGGTTTTTTTTTTTTAACAGTGACTGTATTTTCTTCAGCACATAGAAAAGAGTATCTAGTTAATAAGGTTCAGTTACCCGAGCCCTCTAATGCCACAGTAAAAAAAGATTGCAATAGAATTTCCTTTGGAGTTTTATTTCTCTAAAACAGTGCTCAGGTACACAGTCTCAAAAACGGTTTGAGACCATAGCAAGCATGTGTGATTACTTATATGAAAAACCTTGTTCCAAGCAACTGACTGCAAATTAACTTCTAGAATACAATCAATTCACAATTTGAGGATTGTCTGCATATGTTGAAAATGGCTCATTCTGAAGTCATCTTGAGCTTGGTTTAGGATCATCCATTCAGCAAATCACTATTGAATGTCTACTGTGTGTAACATAACTGTGCCAGTAATATGTAGACAAAAAATAGACATACAGTAGTTTCTCTTTGTTTGTGTTCCCTACTTTGCTGCCAGCATAGTCTTTGAACAAGGCAAACATTCTGGTATCTGAAGCCTTACTTCAGCAGGCACAGGAGGCAAGTTGTGTCTGGTTCTTATTTGGCTTTCCAACTTCATCTCAGGCCTCTCCCCAACTGGCATCTTGTAGGTCAGTGACAGAGAACTCTACTTGCAGTTCACAGTCTCAGTTTGTAATTCCATGCTGACACCCATAACCATAGTGTTTTTCCTGCCTGGAATACCAACCAGCTATTCCAACCCAGGAAGGATCAGGCATACAGAGTATGGGTTAGGCACCATCCAGTGGCATTTAAGGGATGCAATGGTCAGTTCTGTGGGAGAGTTCAAAAGGCCTGAGCCAGTAATACTCTCAAAAGCACCATATAGATTCTTCCATCCAAGATACCCATTAAGACTTGATCAATATCTTTCATTCATTGGACAGACAAAAATAAACATATGCAAAGTTTTAAAACCATTGAAGGTACCTAGAAAGAAGTCAAGTACATTTTATAAAATCATTTAAAATGTACACAAATTTATTAATCTCCAGGTTTTATTTGATTTAGTAGAGTACTGAATGTTCCAAAGGAAGAATAGTATAATGGTGATTATAATTGGAGTTCTTTTATAGAGTAAGGAATAGAAAAGCTCATGAGAACATTTTCTAGTTTGTGCATTTAAATAATGAATAAATGTTGCCATGAATCTGAAAAATATATTTCCAATGTGGTCAGTAGACTAAATTAAGTCAGATGTTTTTGAATTTCAACTGCAAAGAAACAGGAATAGCACTGGGGATAGGAAGACCAGTTAGAGAGGCCTTTGCTCTGGTCCAGGCAGGATATAATGAGGACCTGAACTAAAGTAATGGCACTAAGTCTATAGAAGACAGAATGTAAGGGAATCAATAGGACCTCTTTGCTCTTATATCCTTCATGTGTCCCTCACTGAAGAATGTAGGTTTTTATAGTCCTCATAAAAGCATGTCTCTGCCCATAAAGCATAGGATCAGAAGTCTATAAATATAAGCTCAGCAAGAATTCAGCCAGACCCATAGTTCTTTAACTTTACAGACGAGCCTCAAACTACAGAAAATAGTCCATATTTATCCAGAGTTCAAGATCTGCCTATCTAGGAAAGGTGAAACAAGAGTGTATTTTGCTAGATTTAGTCAAACCTAGAGAAACACGTGAATTTAGTTTGTAAATTTGCTACCAGTGCATTACTCGTCATTTAAAAAGGTGTCCACACCCAAGAATAAAGGAATCCCATAAGGGAGGACCAGAAGGTTCCATTGCCCCCAGATTTTTGCAGTACATTCAGTCTGGTTGCATGTCTGTTATTGTCAGTTTCTCAAGATTTGACTGTGATCTTCTTAGAAGTACCAAAATATTACCAAGCGTTTATATAATACCTCATTCAAAAGAGTCACATTTTATTCTCAGATAAAAATCAGTGCTATCCAAGTGGAAGGGACTTAAAGTGCATAAGTTTCTGCCTAGAAAGGTGGCCTGCTTAAGAATTCTTGAAAAGTTCAGTGGTTTTGCCCTTTTGTAATTATTAAAACCCAAGACAATGTTTCATGTTATAACAGAGCAAGGTGATCTCGTTCTAATGGATTTTATGGCCTTAACCTCTTTTTCAAAAAAAAAGAAATAGAACAGATTTGAAAGCTACCAGGATGATCAGAAAGGCAATGCAGGAGCTAGAAAAAATCAAAAAGAAAAGAATAGTTGTGAGAATCTCAATAGTAGGTATGGGAGTATTGTCACCATCATTGTATTTATTTTAGGGAATTGAATTAGATGGCCTAGGCATTTGATGAAGACTACTCGGATCCTTTAACATAGTGGTGAAGACCAGACAGCTTCTAGTATTTTTCCCTGATCGCAGTAAACACAGGCCACCATTTTTTCTCCATTGAATCCAGACTCACTGGAGGCCCAGCCATTGAAACTTTAGAGCTAATTTTAGTCTTTACCTTTCCATATTTCCAGTTAGGTGCTGATACCATAAAGACTGGGCAAGGCTCTGCATATTTTCACTTAAAAATTGAATTGTGATAAGGCAGATGACCTGAAGAATGTGATCTTAGCCGTTGTCTCCTTAGCTTGTCTTATGAAGCAGTTGTCGTAATGAAAACTTAGTATTTGTTTTCAGGAAACCATTCTCCTTATCAGGAATTTCCTAGATTTTTCTTGATTTCTCTTCAGGTTTTTCTTGGGTCCAGTTCTTGTGTGCTCCAACTTAGACAGTGCTGAACTAAAGGAATCACGTATTGCTAGCTTTTGTAGGGAAAAAGGAAGAGGGGCGCATGCTAACATATGAATATGAGCTCCACAAGGTCAGGCAAAGGATCTAGCTTATAGAATAGCTCTGCCTCACCACTAAGCAGAGTGCCTTACAATAATAGATACTCCACAAATATGAGGGGCGCATGCTAACATATGAATATGAGCTCCACAAGGTCAGGCAAAGGATCTAGCTTATGAATAGCTCTGCCTCACCACTAAGCAGAGTGCCTTACAATAATAGATACTCCACAAATATGTCTTGAATTGAATAAATACATGCAAACAAAGTGAATGAATGTGCATATTATTTGGCTTTTGCTAGCTAAAGCTACAGTAACTAACAACTCCAAAGTGTTATTGGTTTACAAAAACAAAGGTGTACTTCTTGCTCAAGTAGTAAGTCAACCATGGGCCATCAGTGGCTTGGTTCCTGATCCACATCATTTTAGGATCCAGGCAGAAGTAAATTTCCATCTGGGACAGGCCATTCTTCTGGCAGAGGGGGACAGGAAAAAGAACTGGTGGCAACATGTTAGGTAGAGCTCTTGAGGAACTTACTTTCCTCACCACCACTCATATTTCATTGGCCAAAGCCAGTCGCATAGCCAAGGCTGATACTGGAGTTGGGGAAGTAAGCTCTGACTCCAGAGGCCTTAGTGGTAGCGTGGGCATGGGATCCACCTACAGAAAAAGAGTGGTGAATCACCGAGGACAGTAACACGGTCTACCACAGAAGGGAATTAGGAATTTCGAGAAATTGTAGGTTGTGGTTCTCAGTCTTAGCAGAATTGCCTTGTAGCTTATTCTAAAAATAAGATGAAGAAAATTCCATCTAAAATTATTTATGTTTTATATATTGAAGTAATTTGCCAAAGACTTGCTTCGTTTTATTTTACACAGGCTTTTCTGGGTTATAAGTAGTGTACAATGGCATGAAGAAAAGTGGCACTTAATTAAATGGCTAGGATTGTTGGTAAGAGATACATGGACATGGGAAAACTGGTGGTGTACACTTTTTTTTTTCCTTTTTGATCAGTCAAGCAGCTGCCATTTGTTTTTTTTTGTTTTTGTTTTTTTAATATTATGTCTTCACATTTTTTAAAGTTTTTCAAATTCCAAAGCAGGAAGATTTTTTCTAAACTTAAATTTTTTTAAAGTACTAATACTCATTGAACACTACATGTGCCAGACACTATGATGAGCTCTTGGGTCCCTTTACCTTATTGGTCTTTATAATAATATTATAACTGTTACTGCAGTTGCAGATGAAGAAATGTGGAGGTCCCACAACTAATGCTGTGGAGAGCTGAGGCATCAACTCAGAGTCTGATTTCTTATGCACCGTATCAATCCTGACCTTAATTTTCATGCTCTTTTCCCCTATTGCTCCTTTGTAAACTTCAAAGAATAGATGAGCACATGCTCATAAAAACCCTCATATACGTGCTCATAAAATACACATGGATTGGAATAATTGATCTCTCAAGTAGGACAGCCTGTGACACATCTTGGATTAATGAGGCAACCATAAAACCCAACAGCATTTGAAAAGCAGATTTGTGAAAAAATAGAAGGATTGTTTGGAGACTAATATTTTTATATCTTGGAGTACTAGATCAATCTGGGAAAAAATTAGAAAACATGCCAAAAGTTTCTAATAATAAATCTTTAAAAGTTTTGTGGAGCATAATTATGAATTAGCTGCAGATACTTGAATTGCACATTAAAAAGCATCAATTTGCAAGAGTTAAGAATATAGTCAGTGATTATTTCTTTTTAAAATTCTTTTTAAGAGCCAGATATGCCTGTTATTTCAGATTGACAGGATTCTTCCCTTCTTTCCAATATTTATACTGTGTACACATTGGATTACAACTTTTCTAGGGTTTATGGGAGCTAGAAGTTACCCTATTATAAAAAAAATAATACCTGTTGACAATTTATGAATTAATTTGACATTTTATGTTCTGTTAAGAACACAAAGTATTTAATGAGTAACTTTTCTTATATAATAATCATATCTGGCCCATCTTCATTCTCCCTTTGATATCCTTTCAAAATTAGGTCAAATCCAATGCTACTTCCTCTTTGAACTCTTCACACTAGTCTGAATTTCTTTTTTTTTTTTTCCAGCATCCTGATGATTTTTGCTTAGACTTCATAGTTTTGTTACTTATTTATTATTTGCTTCATATTGTAGTAATGCCTGCTGTGCTAGATTGTCAGCCTGTGGAGGGGCAAGGAGCATATGGCCCTCAATTGTATGTCCCTCTCTTTGCTGTAAATATAATTCCTGCTCAGCCTGCTAATTATCAGAATTCCCTGACCCTGACTCTGAAGAGGGTCCATGTATCATGTGATTTCGTAGCCCGCTGTATTATGTCATGTACCCTATTCCATCAGTACATGACTCATTCAAAACTGGTCTTATACAATGAACTATTGCACAGTTGCACTTATCAGATTTCCTGGCAAGGGTAGTAGTTTTTCTATAAATGTTTGTTGGAAGAATGCATGAGTTGATATGATAGCAATTTCCATGATATAATTTAGCTTGTATTTCAGTGAGATATTTTTTTCTAAAATCTAGCAATCCTATTTTGCATATTATGTTATTTCAGATCCTCCCTTCTCTGTTTCAAGCAGTTGGCCATTCATTTCTGCCACCTGTCAAACATATTCTCCATTTAACCCACTGCCGTCATGGGTCTTGGCCCCCCAAGCAAGACTTCTTAGGCTTGTTTCTTTGCAGAGAAAAGAACTAAGTCTAAGTTTTAAATGGTGATAACCCCAATTTCTGTGTCAAAAGTGTTGTGGTCTGCAAGTGGAAATTTACAAACAAGTGTTTGTTTGATCCCGTGGAATCACTAAGATCTGCTTGTGGTTTTGCTTATCGTAACCCTCTCTTAATTCTTTCTTTGTCTCTCCAAATTGTAGGGCCTTAAAGCTGCTGACAATGATCCCACTGCTCCGCCATATGACTCCCTCTTAGTCTTTGACTATGAAGGCAGTGGCTCCACCGCTGGGTCCCTGAGCTCCCTTAATTCCTCAAGTAGTGGTGGTGAGCAGGACTATGATTACCTGAACGACTGGGGGCCACGGTTCAAGAAACTTGCTGACATGTATGGTGGAGGTGATGACTGAACTTCAGGGTGAACTTGGTTTTTGGACAAGTACAAAAATTTCAACTGATATTCCCAAAAAGCGTACAGAAGCTAGGCTTTAACTTTGTAGTCTACTAGCACAGTGCTTGCTGGAGGCTTTGGCATAGGCTGCAAACCAATTTGGGCTCAGAGGGAATATCAGTAATCCAATACTGTTTGGAAAAACACTGAGCTCAGTTACACTTGAATTTTACAGTACAGAAGCACTGGGATTTTATGTGCCTTTTTGTACCTTTTTCAGATTGGAATTAGTTTTATGTTTAAGGCTTTAATGGTACTGATTTCTGAAACGATAAGTAAAAGACAAAATATTTTGTGGTGGGAGCAGTAAGTTAAACCATGATATGCTTCAACATGCTTTTGTTACATTGCATTTGCTTTTATTAAAATACAGAATTAAACAAACAAACAAAAAAAGAACTCATGGAGCGATTTTATTATCTTGGGGGATGAGACCATGAGATTGGAAAATGTACATTACTTCTAGTTTTAGACTTTAGATTTTTTTTTTTCACTAAAATCTTAAAACTTACGCAGCTGGTTGCAAATAAAGGGAGTTTTCATATCACCAATTTGTAGCAAAATTGAATTTTTTCATAAACTAGAATGTTAGACACATTTTGGTCTTAATCCATGTACACTTTTTTATTTACTGTATTTTTTCCACTTCACTGTAAAAATGGTATGTGTACATAATGTTTTATTGACATAGTCTATGGAGAAGTGCAGAAACTTCAGAACATGTGTATGTATTCTTTGGACTATGGATTCAGGTTTTTTGCATGTTTATATCTTTCGTTATGGATAAAGTATTTACAAAACAAAGTGACATTTGATTCAATTGTTGAGCCGTAGTTAGAATACTCAATTTTTAATTT